TTCCATTTAAAAGTAAATTTCATCACCTGCTGCTCACCTATAGCCCATCTCACTTCCAGGGTACACCACCTTATTATTTAAGATACTGCCACCTATCCATTCATAATGCATCCACATTTTACATAAGCTCTGTATTTTTGGTCCCTTCTTAGAACAAAAACCAAGTCTCATATATCTATTCATAAAGAAGATTGGGAAGACAACATTAAATTCATCATCAAACTGGTAACTTAAATTATTTTAACTAACATTATGTTAATATGCTTGCAAAACATGTGTGTGTGTATGTGTCTCTCTCTGTGATATTTGTTATTTGTACCAAATGTGTATCATTTAAAAAACGTTTAATCAGTTCCTCCCTGGGGCTCAATGGGTTAGGATGCAGCCGCTGCAGAGAAAGTTCGATCCCTCTCCAGAGGTAATCTACATGGCACGGCAGACCTCTCCTTGTCTCGCCAACTGCTCCCCTCAGCAGTGTACTTTGTTGATCTTCCTGTTCTATTCCCCACTCTATCTCTATGGCCATGTTTTACTCTTTATTTCATAGACAAATTTGGTTTCATAGAAGCATATGATCTCCCTTATACTATAACCTATGCAATAAATAGAATTTTACTTCATAGTACACTGACTTACATACACAACAAAAATTATCCACTATCCTCAAAAACAGGTTTGCAGCCCTTCCTCGTGGTGCATCAAGTTAAAGCACTAAGAAGCTAAAGTCACTTCAGCATGAGTTCGAACCCCACCCACCCCGAGGTGATCCACATGACACAGCAGTACTCTCCTGACCCACCCACTGCTCCCCTCAGCAGTGTACTTCGTTGATATGCCTGTTCTGCTCCCCACTCTGTCTCTGGTGTATCCTCTCACTACTCCTGCACTTATGGCCTGTACCCCAATTCTGTGTGCACAAATAAATAAATAACAGGTTTGCTAGATTTCTTTTCATAAATGATGCACAAAAAATTCTATGTGTACATATATATTTCATTTCTCTGTTCATTTCTGAGTTAAAAAATAAACATTTAAAGAACTTTGTACACACATCAATCTATTGACTAAAAGTGGTTTTCTAATTAAAATTATCACAAGTAATTAATTTTCCTACACACACCCTTATATTACTTATCATAATGCTTATCACAATCAGAAAAGGAAAGCATTGTCCTCTACTTGCATTTCCTGGCTCTTTAGTGACATTACATCTTTTTATAATCTTATTAAATATAAACATTTCTTTTTTAATGAATGAATTCCTCAAGTTATTTGCTCATAATAGTTTTTTGAGATGTATTTTTTTTTAAATTTGATTTTTTTTCATATACCATTAGTTTTTATAAACTTGTAAGTTACCCTATAATGTTATTTATCTGTATATTTTGAAATGTTGATTTATAGTCTGATAAGGGAAACTATCAATTTTTATTATGCACGTCGTTGGCATTATGTTTTGAAAGGTCCTAACTACCTTAAAACAATAATTCATCTATTTCTTCCTTATTTTAAATATTATTTCTGATGAATTTATGAATGGGCTTAATTTTTCCCCCAATAAGATTGACTGAATAGCATATCTTTACTAACTGTTTGAAAAAACACACTTATTAATGGAGTAAATTAGTACTTATAAATGGATTGGTTAGAGAACTTTCTAATTTGTTCCATAGTTCTATCATTCTGATAGAACTCCGTTGCTTTAGTCCTTGTCAATATATATTGAGATTTTATATTATCATTAGCCAGCAGTTTCTCTTATGTTCATAATTTTGACCATTATCTTTAATTTTCATCAATTAAGATTAGTATTTTTGTGTTGTATTTGAATGATTATAGTAGGCTTAATTTTATTATTTTATTTAAGGCTACATAATTTGAAATTACATAAATTATATAGAGAAAATCATCATACTTAAAGTGATAAATAATCATGTTCAAGAATATGGCATGTTTTCCATTTTCATATCTATTTTAAGTTGACTTAATTTTCTTTTTATTTGATATATATTGTCTTTTACATTCAGTTCATACTGAGGTATTTTATTTTATGCTATTGAGAAAGAAGTCTTGTCTCCATTTACTCTGTTTATTGCTGATAGGCAGCAATGCTATTAGTTTTTATGTATGTGTACTTGTCCTCAGTCATCTGGTTATGCTTGTTTTTCACTTAATTCTCCCCTATGAAATAGAAATAATTATGGATATGTCCCTTCTTTTTATGCTACTTCTATTTTTTTTCCCTATGGCTAGAAGTTTTGTCTGAACACTGAATTCCATTATTAAATAGCACCTCCAGTGCTGAGAGAGGAGTCACCATGTCTCTTCTGACTCTCAGGTCCCCCATCTGTCTGCTATACTTCTTTTCAAATCCCTTGAACCATTTCACCCTGAGAACAGAGGCAATGGGAAGAGCCCTCTCCCTCCCCACCCATTCCCAAAGCCACAGCCCCAAAGCCTCACAGTCAACCTAGAACAGCGAAGGCTCTGTGATTCTGGACACCAGCCTGCTGTGTGTGCCCAGTGCCTTTTAATTTGTTTACGATTCAGCCTTTCTTCCCTCCTGTTTCTTATGACACCAATGTTTCCTTCAGGGTAGACCTTTCCCACCAGCACACAGGCATGTAATTATGTCACCCAATTTAGGTAACAATAACCAGAAAGACCATGGTCAGATCCAGCCTTTCTCTCTCTGATTCCCCTGTCACTATAGCTACTGCTCCTATGGGATTCAATCTTACTCAACCGTGCTAGAAAAACTGAAGAATCACAAAAGTCATGCTCCAGTCCCCCTCCCTCCCCTCTTCCCTTAAGCTGGTGCTATCGCGATAAATGGATCAGATGTTTATTCTCTGGATATGACTGAAGTCCTCATGACACGCAGACAAAGGGCAACACTGTCAAAAATTAAAGGAAAGTAAAGTAATGTTTTATGGTCAAGTAGAGTTTTGTTTGTTTGTTTGTTTGTTTGTTTGTTTTCCAAAATACCACTGTGAAATTCTAATCAAATAGGCGGGAATCCTGCATTGAGCAAAATCTTTGCCCAGAACAGAAGTAGAGTGGTTAAAGGAATCAAAGGTAGGTTTTCTTCTTTAGGCCCTGATGGTTGAGGAAAGAATTCAGATTCTTCTAGATCTCTGGCCACACTTTATGTTAAATTCTACATTGCCAAGAGAAACATGTTAGGGGTACATTTATGCTTGTCAGACTCTTTGGGCAAGACATATTGAGATGTAGGTTTTCCATATTAATATTTAGTAAGTGAAAATCTGGCTTTTTAGTAAGTGAAAATCTCCTTGGTAAAAGATGGTTCTTTATTTCCCTTCTTACCACTTGCTTGTCTCCTCCTGGGGAAGAGCAGAAGTCTACAGGGCTATCCCTGGCTTCACCTTTAGGCCTTATCTGTACTCCCCTCCCCGCCCCCCCCCCCATATCCTGGCCACTTCCCTGGCTCCCACTCCAGGACGTGCTCTCACTTTCTGCAGGGCACCTTCTGTCAGTGCCCCTTTCTCCTGAAAAAAAAATTTTTTTTAAGATTTATTTATTTACTTATTCATACAGAACTGGGATACAGGCCAGGGGGGGTGAGAGGATTCACCAAAGGGGAGCAGCGGGCAGGTCAGGAGAGGTCTGCCACACCATGTGGTCACCTTTGGGGCGGGAATCAAACTCACACTGACTGAAGCAGCTACAGCTTGCTTGCAGTGCTGTGCTTTATCCAGCTGTGCCACCATGGAGGGCCCTCTTCCTGCATTTTACAATCAACTTCTTACCCAGATCCATAACATTTTTCTCTCTGATAACTACCTTCTTGTTAATTCCCAACTATTTGTCATCAACTTGCCTTGTATATGGGCCTTCTCAGTTCATTTTCAAAAATTCATTTCCTAGAATCCATCTTTTCTTAATTCTTATTTGAAGTAATAAGAGAGTGTAATGCAATTTTTTCCAAGTTTATTCTCAATCTTAGTTTATTTTCTGTGTCTCCCCCTTGGGACTTATAATTTGCTGCTTTTATGTAAAATATTCTTTCCAGTGACCCTTATTATTTTGATTTTTATTCATCCTAAATGTTACATAAGCTCTCCATATAATTTTGTCAACAAAATGAATTTTATTTTCCTTTTGTACCTCCATTTTCAATTTGTAGGTGATTATATTCTGTCTCCATTTTTAGTTCTTAGCTTTAAAGGCTGCATGCCACTTAAAAATCCCAAAACTAAGTACTGAGAAGTAATTTCAGCTAGAACATATAAACCCAAGAAAATTCTATTTCTAAAAATATAAATAAAAAATGTCCAAAGCACTATCTCTGTTCTTGGCCTGAGCCAGGCTTATGGTATAACTACTGTCTTCCCTACTTACACACCTAAGAAATCATTGCCGTCAGTGGCTAGCTCTCCCCATTGCCTCCTTGACTGTTTATCAGAAGAAAAGACATCCAAGTGTGGAAACTCTTATGCCATGACAATACAGACAGCTCTGGGTTTGGAGGTGGCCCTGATGTTCACATGTTCTCCATCTCCACAGCTTATTTCTTCTCAACCCAACTTGCCTCCAAGTTCTGCTGTGGGCTGACCCAGACAAAAGACTAGATCTTGACTCCAGCTCCAGCCACTATCTGAATCCCTGTCCCAATCATATCCTCTAAAGACAAAGCCAGTCATGGTCCCCAAACTCTCCCGAAAATGCTCCCTTCACCCCTTCCTTGAATTGGTAAATCTTTTCTGTTTTTAAGTGACGAAAGTTCATTTGCTGGGGAGCTGTATGGTGGGCCTGGGCTGTACCCTCACCTGACCTGCTCCTGTGTGTGTCCTCATGGTTGCCATTCCACATAGGATTCAAAAGCACCGTCTTTTCTTCAACTTTACACTCCCTTTTTAACATCCTATGAATCCCTTTCCAATGCCTTAGATGATAGGTGATTATGCTAACATTCATACCTATTGGGTCAAGATACTTTTTAGTTTGTCATTTTATAAAGTTACATGATTACTTACCAGGAATCAAGTTGCTGAAATACCAGCCACATAAAAAATAAAGGCCTGAATCAAACAGAATCATCCAGCAAACCCAGCCAAATGTCATGCCCACTTGCTCAGGAGCCTGGTACATATTATTCCACTGAATTCCTGGAAGGAAGGAAAAGGTCAGGGAGAGAACAGCACATCCTCTTTTAGTGTAGATTTTGGTAAGATAAGTTCATTAGTGCCATAAACACAACAAAAGCAGAATGCAACTAAAATAAAAAGATCAAAGGAAGATCACAGTAAATGGTAGCTTAATTAACCTCATCTTTTTCAATGATAGCAAGTGGAGTGACCACTAACAACATATTAATAGCTAACACTTTAGAATCTGTAAAAGATCTCCTTATTTATATATAGTTATATGTGCTTAACTAAGTTTATACTTAGGGGAAGTAAATATATTAAAAAAAAAAAAAGGGTTCCTTGAGAACCTGAACTCCAAATGACTCCAAATTAGGTTATTCTCTCTGCTCTGTGAAAATGTATAAAAAAGATATATAAGACCTGGGGTGGGAAAAAAAATCATTATTTCCACAAAATATTTTGACATTTTGCTGTATTAAACTATAAATCGTTTTAATATATATATTTTAATTTTGCTATGGTACAAGCTTAGAACTTACTAAAAAAACATTTATTTACCATTGAGTATTGGAATTTACTCCAAAATATTCAAAGAATTGAACAGTGACCTTGCTTCTTGTTTATCCTCTGGCCTGACTTTGTTTATGGAGCAGTTTGAGAAACTCAGGAGAAATCATTCAGGATGATTTAATGTAGCTTTAGAGTAGTACAGTTCAGAATAGTACAAGTGTATCCAATGTGGAGAAAAGAGAAACTGTGCACTATGGCATGTCTATAAACTGGTACAGCAATTATGGAAAAATATGGAAATTCCTCAAGAAGTTCAGAATAGAAATTCTAGACAATCCAGTAATCCCATTTCAGGATATATGTACAAAAACACTAATCCAAAACCATAGGTATACTCCTAACCTCATGACAGCGCAATTTACATAGCCAAGGGTTGGAAACAATCTATATTGCTCATTGACAGATGAGTATATTAACAAAATGTGTTATATATAAGTAATGTAATACTACGCAGCAATAAAAAAGATGAAACCTTGTCATTTGCAACAACATTGATGGACCTAGAGGTTGTTATGCTTAATAAATCAAATAGAGATAAACACAAATACTTGTCTCATATGTAATACATAAAGAAACACAACAAAGGAACTAAATAAAACAAAAATTATCTTTAGGCTATGAGACTGATTATCAGAAGAGATAGAGGAAAGAAGTAGCTAAATGGGGGTAAAAGAAGTCTATTGTGTGGTAAAAGACAGAATAGGGCATTTAATGGTAAATTTAATTATTATATATGTTGATTTACATCTGAGACTTATATGCTTCAAAGCTAACTCACTGCAATAAAAATTCTTTTAAATTATATCCTCTTGGGCCCTCCCTGGTGGCTCAAGCGTAAAATACAGCACTACAAAACTAGCCACAGCTTCAACAGGAGTTCGAAGTGACCGACACGGTGCAGCATACCTTTCCTGTCTTGCTCGCTGTTCCCCCCAGAAGTCTGCCTGTTCTGCTCCCCACTCTCTGGTGAATCCTCTTACCACCCCACACCTTTGGCCTGTACCCTAGCTCTGTATGCATAAATAAATAAATCTTAACAAAAAAATATATCCTCTTACCTGCCTCTTGTCCTTCTAAGAATGTAACAAAAAATATTCCTTGTCCAAAGGCAGTGGTTGAGAGGAGGCACTGCATAAAATTGATGGAGTGAAAATGAAAGACATGTTAGTGCTTTATTAGGAGGACAGAAAATCTGCAACACTAAATACAAATAGAGAAACCACACACATTCCAACTCTAATGATGTCAAAGCTTTGCTCCAGGCAGTGATTTCAATATTTGAACCTGAAGACTTAGCCACATGTCAGCTTGTTCTGAAAGACTTGATAACAAGCTAGTTTTTAATGTTAAAAAGTATTATTTCTCTTTACTGCAATGCTTGAAGTGTCATAAATCCAATGCATTGTACACAGAAATGTATAATAAAAAAAATAGTGGAAAACAGAATAGGGCAATTTACTATTTTTCATTGGTAAGCGAATGTCCTGGAGCAGACTACAGGCATACTGATGGAACATATACATTATTCTATTTAGAATGGGAGTGTTTTGAAAGAAAATGTATTTTATTTCCAGTGAAAAGGACCTATGTCAGAGAAAAAATAAAAGCCCATTTAAAAATATTATGTGCCAGAGTGAGATTTTATATTTGCCACAAACACTTAAACATATAAAAAGGAAATAAAACCTTATATGCATAGAACCCTTGAAGATAAGTATTGATGTAAAAACAAAAATGACAGCATTTGAAATACGAACTGGATCATTAATAATACATCTTCTTATCTGTAAGGATTATGGAGAAGTGGGGGTAAAGGAAACTACATAGTCATGGTTGCTTTAATTTCCTGAAAACCACTAATTAACAATAATATAAAATCATTGGTTATAAATTAATATGGGTGTGATATAAGCTAATCAGAGCTGATGACATGTATTAATAACTAAAATGTAGATTACATAGCACTACCTTCTTCATATACATTTATTTCAGTGTTATGCATATATGACCAATGGAACCATGGAGGATGGAAAAATAATTTGGTCTTCACCGATTCAAAATGAACAGAGCAGACAACCCTCCCAACAAATGAGAGCATGCTAGACTCTTCTGGCTGCTGTAGGAGGGTAAGTGACCTCTGTCTCTTTAGTACCATTTCAAATTCTCCCTTACTAATGCTAAACATTCATCCCAAGGATTGCAATTAGAGAAATTTGCTTGACGCACATAATACAAATGTGGCCATTTTAATAATGATTAGTTCATCTTTTCTACAGGATTGAATTCCTACTATGTGTCCAGGGCTGTGCTTGCCAAAAAAAACAATCATAAAAGAAAGGAGATGTATCTTAAAAACATGCATGATCCCGACATTGCTAATGGAGTGATCATTCTACTTAATGTGAAGTAATTTACTATGATTCAAGAAAAATGCTTACTTTTTACTTCCAAAAGTTTTCAAAATATATATTTTTTTCTATGTATGAAACAGAAAGACACTGCAGTCTTATGTTTCCTTTAGAATGCTACTGATTTTCCAATGAGTTTTCAAAAGAGTCCCTGTTACAGGGAAAAATGTCAATTTTTAACAGGCTGCCTTCCAGAATAACTACTGCAGATTCAATGAATCACCACTGCAAGACTCCCCACCTGAGGTGGAATAAAGAAAAGCAAATCTTTGAAAACCAATGGAGATCTGAGAATGATCCATTGAAATGTAGAAGATAGCAACTTTGACTTTTTTTTTATTGGGTCAAAGGTGATTTTGTTTTATTTTGTATTTTTTACAAATCAGCCCACTTACCAGAAACATCTGAATAATAGCACTTAATTGGTTGTGTAGAACCAGCAGAACAATATAGGGTAAGAAGCTGATCATGTACACCAGGCTGGCACAAAGGGCCGCGATGTTTGCTTGGCTGAAAAACGCACTCAAAAAGTAACTCAGCATGACAACTGACACCCCAAAGTTGAGGAGAAAGAGGAAAATAATGAAAGCGTTGCTGTGTGCAAAAATGCGGCTTGTCTTCAGGATGACGGCTAGGGCAGCGCTGCTTATGGTCAACACAGCCATATTCTCCAGGAACCAGGCCAGGAACTGGATCACTGGATGCACTCCCATCATCCTCATGTACTGTCAAAACAAAGAAAACCCAAAATTATCTCGGCTGATTATAAGTAGGTAAGCAACAAATAAAATAATGCAAGTTCTAATCAAAACTTAAGAATTACAATCATAAATTAAGATGAGAAGTCTGCTATCATGTTTTTCTGGCTTTTATAAAAATTGTTGAGTGGTGTTATTCTTTCAGTCACATGATCTGCCCTTTGTTGTCCTTCATTGATAGGAAATACCTGCTGAACTGTGACAAGCATTTTAAGCTTCAGTGTAAAATGATTTTTCTGAGACAGGGACTTAGTGTGGCCATACTTGTTGGGAACCCCAACAGAGGGAATAGTTGACAAAGTGACAGTGCTTGGTCCATTATGGGACAAGATTCACCTCCAAGTTCATAATCTCCCCTCCTTCTCTTCCCAGTAAAGTCGGTGGTGATTTACCTCTTCGATCTGGATCTCCCGCTCGTATACCAGTTTTCGGACCATGCTAGCCACTGACACCATCCATGTCAACATCATTATCAAGGGGAAAAAGAAGCCAACATTGTTCAAGAATCTGTAAGAAAACAATTCAGTCATCATGTAAGGGCAAGCATGACTCATTTCAAGCTCATGGTGAGTACTGCTTCTGGTCAAACCTTTTCAAGTTGTTTTTATATATAAGCAACAAAGCACTTTCAGGACTGAAACCTCATTTAACCTTTTCAACAGGCCTGCAAAATGACTATTTGGCATCCTGATTCTGTTAAAAAAAATTTTGAATGCTTATCACCACCAATGTTCCTCACTGATACACTCCTTGAAAGAGTAGGTAGAAGAGGAAATGAGTCATTCATTCAAAACTACAGTTGTGCCCACTTAATTGAGACTTAATCTTCAGTCATTACTAGCAATTGACCATTGATTGTAACCTATAAAATATGTTAAAATTGACAACTGAAGGTATCTTTCTCACTCTCTTCTCAGCACACCGATTTCTAATGCATATTTGAAACGATTATTCTTTAGGGAAATAGTGATAACTATGTCTCAAATCCTATAATATACCATTGTTATCTTTTTCAATTCTCAAGTGTGCTTGATCACACTGTTTCCTGCTTCCTTTTCTTTAAATTCCAGAGTAACTCTTAGCTTTCCATTAATCATCTCAGCTTCCTTCATTAATATCTTCTCCTTTTTTGTAAATCCTTTCACTGAAGGCATTCTCACCACAACCCTGGGCTTTTGTCTTAATGAATCCTTCTGAGCTATAAAGCCACACATGAACTATTTTACTCATTCACTAAGACCAGCCATTGGGTATAGGCTCCATTAATCAACCAAAAAGATAAAGGAGCTACCAGTAGTGACACTATCTAAGTTTCAATGTCTAGACAAAGAACAAAGGTACAGACAAAAAAATTAGCTCTCCAGGCAGAAAAATTTCTCTGCTTTCTTCTCCATAGATTCTCAGAACCCTTCTGTGGTTCAGTCACAGCATTAACTGTGAAGTGGGCCATCATCAGGACCACTGATTTAAGACTTTGCTGTCAGGACTCCCCACCATACTGTTTCTGCTTAGCAAATATCTGCTATATAGTAGAAGCAAAGTATGTGTTAATAAAATCATGAATGAATAAAATAAAGGGAATTATTCTCCTTGTTTTATTCCTTTTCCTGCTTATATTACAGGCCAACTATAATTAATCATCAATTTAATGAATCACATTTTAAAACTAACTATGAGCTTGTATGCTGCACAGTGACAGTTTGCCAAAGGCAGTGTTCTAGATTTTTAGTTATGTGATTTTTCTAGGGTCTTTAAAATAATTTTATAGTGTTCAATGCAAATGGAAGTCTATGAGCAGGAAGTACCATAAATGTTATCTACTTGCAAATCCAACAAATGCTATCTCTTCTTCTACAGTGATAGCATTTACCATAGAGATGAAGCTTAAATCACTGGTAAAGTTAAAAACCATGAATACTGGGCCCTCCCTATTGGTAAACTGGGTTAAAGTGCAGTACTGCAAAGCTAGCAGCAGCCATTTCAGCACCAGTTGGATAACAGGCCAGAGAGGTGACCCACATGGCTTGGCAGACCTCTCCTGTCTGCTTGCCTTAGGAGTGTACTTTGTCAATCTGCCTATTCTGCTACCCACTCTGACTTTGGTGAATTCTCCCACCATCCCTGCACCTCTGGCCTATACCCCCGTTCTATATGCATGAATAAATCTTTAAAAAAAAAAAAGAAAGAAAGAAAACTAATACTGAGTTTGCTTAAGACTTTGGAAAAAAAATTGTCTACTTGGTCCTAATCTTTATCTTAAAAAAAAAAAAAAAGAAAGAAAACTTAATATCAATGAAATAGCTCTTGAATTATTTTCTTATAGCAACTTAGATTCTTTAAAGGAGGCCATAGCCACCATATACAAATATTCCACAAGAGTCTGTCTCCTGCTTCAGGAGTCACACTGGACCAGCATTATGTGCATATTTGTGTTTGTACTCTTCGGGTGTCCCCTGGGCCACTGCACTATTGTAAAGAAGAAATCAGTGGAGGCTTAGAATTGCATAAACTCAAGTCTAGTTTTCTTGAAAAAATTACTGTAGATGCCCTGAGTGTCCAGGTGTGCTGCATATATATGTGCCTCACTGGAACCATTTAATAGCAAACAGAGTAAGAAATTAGAAATAAGAAGGTGCTGTACATGGCTATACAGTTTAGCCCTTTCCTGTTCCTGGAAACCAACGCAAAAGCAACTCAAAAAGGAAGAAAATATGTAATCCAATTCTGCTAAATGCCTGGAAGCAATATTCAATATGTGAGGAAGACTAGAAATAAGATTATGTGGGATTCACACAAAGAAATAGATAGGAGCAATGTCAACAGTAGAATCCCACCCCTACAGATGCAGAATGTGCCATCTAAACCGCACTTCAGAAAAGCCAAGGAGTACTTTCTGAGAACACATTATAAATAAGTGTGAGAACACATTATAAATAAGTGTGTGTTCAGTGTGCATCAAGATGCAGGCTAATTTGTGATTAGACCGTATTCTTTTAAACCTGTTCCCAGAAGGGAGGACTCTATGAATTATGTATACATTTTCAAGAAACACTTGGTCTTTGTCACTGTGGAAAAGAAAGTTTTTGAACTAAGCAACCATTAATGCCACCTGGTTCTCAAATAAAACTCTCTTACAAAAAAAAAAAAAAAAAGAGGGATATTCTGATATCTAAGCCATTCACAATGAGTAACAACAATCTAGCACATTTATGTCAGAAATAAAAAAAAAAAAAAAAGTTGAAGGCAGTTGAAGGCAACAGAATAACAAATGAAAAACACACACCAAAAAGCTGGTGACAAGGAAGATGAAAATAGCAAATTCATTTTTCCCATCAGTTTAAAAATGGAAGGTAATTATATCTATAAATAAAATACCTGCACCAGCAATTCAGTGGTGTGATTGCAAGATAGCAAGAAGACATGAAATATGTACTAGAAGAATTTAGAAAGAAATAGAAGGAAAAATAGTCACCAGACACATGAAGATAAAATTAAAAGAACAAGAACAAAATGACTCTGCACAGAACACAGTACGGGGTATAGAAAATAGTAGTGCAGATAAAGGAATGTTAGAAAGGAAAGAGTTTTAAAGAGTTACAAAAAAGTATTGATAAGAAACACAGGGAAAAAATCTACTACAGTCACTGAAGAAAAAAAAGACATCAACCACTTTAAGATAATCAATTTGTTGCAGTGGAGAAACATCAAGAAATTCCATAAGAAAAAAAAAGTAAATGTAGATATTGAAAGATTTCATTTTGCATCATGAAAAATTATCCTATAATGATCAATTAAAAAATGTACCCTGGTAAATTTGTTAACTTTTTAAGTTATTAGTATCTTGTAAAATTTACCAGGTTATATAAAAAAAAAAGGCAGAAATATATCGATATAATCTCAAAGATAAATATAATGGAGTGATTCTGGCAAGATATTTAAAGAAGAGCTAGCCAGGGATTTATTAAGTCAAGGGGTCTTCGAAATACAAAAACTACAAGACAGTTAAGTATGTAAGCTCTTGGGTTATATTGCCTCTTGAGATCTTTTTAATAAAGTTATTAGATGATAAATTTTACCCCACCAAAGAATGACTAGTAAATTATAGTGGAAAGGTAATAGTAAGCAATGGATATATTTTCCAGTAAAAATAAAACTAATGCAAAAATTAAAAATTAAGACAAAATTGACTGGAAATAGGTTCACTGAAAGGTAGAAATTATACCACAAACAAAATTGGAAGGACAGTGGGAATGTGTGAGGGGGAAAAATTAGTTAGTGATTGCCTAACGGCCATTCTATAATTTGACAAATTCAGAATATAATTATAATAAACATAATATAGTAGATTACATTATATAATATATATTATGATGTATTATAATTGTACAAGGAAATATTAAGTAAAATAATATCAACTAATATTACATGATTAAAAAAAGTAAATGGTTGAAAAGAAATTACTTTAAAGTGATATTGCTCATGGGAAAAATCCTTATTAAATATTAGTTTTAAAGCATAAGTATAAAATAAACACATTAATAAGGCCATTATATATATATATATATATACACACACACACACACACACACACATACATATGTAATTATAAATGTTTGCACTTGAAATTCTGTTTCATTCTTCAATCAACCTTCCATACCTTCCAGTTAACAGAACAATCTTTCTGTGAAAAATCTAAAATTGTTGTGCCTGTGCTGAACAAGTACAGACTTTTTCTCGTTACCCCCCTAAACAATATAGTAAAATAACAACTTATTTGTATTGTACTAGGTATTGCAAATAATCTAGAGATAATTACAGGGGGATGTGTATAAATTATATGCAACTGCCATACCATTTTGTAAAAGAGACTTGAACATCTATGGATTTTGATCCTAGAATCAATTCCCTGTATTATCTCTGTATTTCTGAACTGTACTAAACAGCTAACCTTACCTATATAAGAATCGTATAATACATACAAGAACTATATATGAAACAAAATATTTCAAAAAATTTAAAGTGAAAGGACAAGTAAATAATGGGAAGAAATAAAACAAAAAAGAAATAACTAAACCAATTTAATTCATATAAGCAAGAATTATGTCCGCCAAGCATCATGTAAGACTCAAAACACAATTATTCATAACTGTATAAAAAAGGTAATATAGGACTAGCATCAAAAGACCAACACCATACGTAAAAGAGTAGGCAGAAATACACAAGTCTAGGGGACTGTAATTTATCTATCTTATTCTAGGGCCAATGAACAGGACACAAATGAAGATGGAAAAATCTTAAATAGGAGTGTTAGTATCGATCAATTTCTCTAAAAAACAAAATTAAAAATTATGTTCAATTGCCCATAAATCATTCACAAGTGTGGATTATATGTTACTTGCCAGAAAAAAAAAATGATAAATTCCAAAATTAGAAATGATAAACAACATTTTCTAATGGCAATGGAAAAATTAAGAATTTGGTAACTTAGTTTATGATGCACTTTTTGG